TGCCCAACCTTCCTTCCGAGGAGTGGCTGGTGGGTTTGAACTGCCAGCCTTCTGGTTAGCAGTCAAGTGCTTTAGGCACTATGCTACCAGAGCTCCCATGGGATGTATTAGCACCTTCAAAATACATGTGTGTGAGAGGGGAGTTTCTTCATTTTCCTCTGGCTTTTAACCAACAAAGATGAATATTTTGTTTCCTTGTCCTTTTTGTCTCCTAAATGTGTAGGCCAAGTGGTCATTGAGCTGTTAACAAATGTTTACATGGCCAAATCTCCATCCCCCTTGTAAATGTAAGATGAAGAACCATCCACTGATTACATTCTGTAGCCCAGAGTTTTAAGTTCAAGTGTTGTTCTTCTTTTTTTTTTTTTTCCTTTTAATTAATCATTCCCCTTTTATAATAAAGGAAAGAAATAGGTTTTGGTGTTAATCTGACATTTGTGGGATCTGTGACCTTGAGCAAGGAACTAACCCTCTGTGGGCCAATGATGTCCTCATCTGTCAGATGGGGAAAACAGTTGCATTCATCTTAGTGGACTATTGGGAAGATGCATTGAGATAAGGCAGGAAAGCTCTAAGCACCTCAGCGCCTGGCATGGAGGACGCACTCAGGAAATTTGAACTCTTGCACAAGTCCACCTCTCTTGTGGTTGGATGGATTTGCAGTGTTAGAATGAAAGCTCCATGAGGGCAGGAGAAACTATACTTTATAATCTTTGTGCCTATTTTCCTGTCTAAAAATGGAAGAAATAGTACTCTAATCTCATGGGTTGTTGTGAAGGTTAAATGAATTCATATATATAAAGTGCTTGAACAATGCTTTACAAACAGCAAGCATCACTATGAGTTGGATCCAACTCGACGGCAGTGAGATATAAGTATTAGATATTATTATATAAGATGCCTAATATATATTTATTTAATCACTTAATGAAATATCTCTTCCTCCCCTAGTCTCCCCTTTTTTGGGATATGGAGGTTGCTTTCAGTTTCTTGCTATTACAAACCCACTGCAATGACTATGTGGGTCTCTTTGGTGGGGAGGACAGGAGGATAACCCACGTTCTCCTCATCTTTGGTTGGAAGGTCCTTCGGGAGGGATCTGAGAGCCTGGAGCAGCACCTGGGCCTGGAGGCACTGATGTCTTCGGGGCGAGTGGACAACCTGGCAGTGGTGATGGGGCTGCACCCTGACTACCTGAGCAGCTTCTGGCGCCTGCACTATCTGCTGCTGCACACGGATGGGCCCCTGGCCAGCTCCTGGCGCCACTACATTGCTATCATGGTGAGTCTATATGGGCCTGGCTCTTGTTGGGGTGGGCCACATGGGGGCTTCTGTCCTGATTGCTTTCTGCTGGGGCTTCATGAAGGAGCTCTGGTGACATAGTGGCTAAGGCATTTAGCTGTGAACCAGAAGGCCAGCTGTTCAAACCCACCAGTTGTTCCATGGGAGGAAAATGGGGCGATCTACATCCATAAGGATTTATAGCCTCAGAAACACAATGAGGGTTGCCATAAAGATTTATAGGCTCAGAAACCCAATGGGGGTCGCTATGAGTCCTATTCCACTTGATGGCAGTGAGCTTGGTTTTTTTAGTTTGGGGGCTTCGTGAGCTGATCCCACAGACAAGAGAAAGAAAGGAAGCATAGAGCAGAGAAAAGCCTGGCTTCATCTGACCATCCATCGAATTTTAGATTTTGAGAGAGGCATCTTTAGTATCTTCTTTATGGATTGGGAAACTGAGGTACAAAGGGATCAGGGGACCTGCCCAACATCACACAGAAAGCTCATGGTAGAGCTAGGATTAGAATTTAGATTTTCTGCTCCCAGACAACAGTGAGTCCTGTTATGTCTCCTCCATGGGGTATCTACCCTGAACAGGGCACAGAAGGAGGTAGGATGACCCAGGCTCTGTCCCTCATCCACAGGCTGCTGCCCGCCACCAGTGCTCCTATCTGGTAGGCTCCCACATGGCTGAGTTTCTGCAGACTGGTGGGGACCCTGAGTGGTTGTTGGGTCTCCACCATGCCCCCAAGAAGCTGCGCAAACTTAGCGAGATCAATAAGTTGTTGGCGCATCGGCCGTGGCTCATCACTAAGGAGCACATCCAGGTACAGTGGGCAGAGAGGCGGGTTCCCTAGAGAGCCCAGGGGCTGGGCTGGGGGCAGCCCAGGGACAGGCACTGATCAGATCTGGCCTTCCTTCCACTCCAGGCCCTGCTGAAGACAGGTGAGCACAGCTGGTCCCTGGCTGAGCTCATCCAGGCCCTGGTGCTGCTCACCCACTGCCACTCACTGGCCTCTTTCGTGTTTGGCTGTGGCATCCTTCCTGAGGGGGACCCAGAGGGCAGCCCTGCCCCCCAGGCACCTTCGCCCCCCAGTGAGCAAAGCAGCCCCCCCAGTGGGGACCCATTGAACAACTCTGGGGTAAGTCTTGGCTAGGGAGGAAAGTGTCATGGCCTCTGGTCTTTTGGTAGAAGTGCCTGCTTCTTTGTCTTCTCACACTGAGAGGCCTTAGAAAAATTATGTGACTTGGAAGCTCAGTTTCCTCATCTGTGAAATGAGGATAAAGAGGATTGTGAGGATTAAATGAAATCACTAGGTGACTGGCCTCTCAGCTTGTAGCCCCATATACTCAAAGTCTGGTTTTTAGCATTTCAAAAATATGAAGTTTGTCTCTTATTCCATGAGGTAGCCTTGTTAGTTTTAATATGAAAATGCAGAGACTTCAAAAATGTCTTACCTGTGAGGGAAGTTGATGCTCAGAGAAGACATATGTTTATTCTGTAGCTTCTTAAACCTTAGGAACTCTGGTGGCATAGTGCCTAAGGCACATGGCTGCTAACCAGAAGGCTGGAGGTTCAAACCCACCAGCCACTCCTCAGAAGGAAGGTTGGGCAATCTACTTCCATAGTGATATTTTCTTTTTTCCTTAAACTTCACTTTCAGAAGCCAGGTCATGTGAGCTGCCCAGCACATGCCTGGCACAGAGGACAGGGCTTTTACAGTTATCTAGGAGCCCACATGTGGGAAGGGTGTATGGAATTTCCTGGGGCTGAGGAAGGAGAAACAGATGGTCACCACTGGACCCCCCACCAGGGCTTTGAAGCCGCACGTGATGTGGAAGCTCTGATGGAACGCATGAGGCAGCTTCAGGAGAACCTGCTGCGGGACGAGGGGGCATCCCAGGAGGAGATGGAGAGCCGCTTTGAGTTGGAAAAGTCAGAGAGTCTGCTGGTGACCCCCTCAGGTACAGAATCCCAGACATCCAGGTTCCCAGGGCTGCCCCCTGCTTAAACCACCTCTGGTAGGGAGTAGTTACCTCCACACCCCATACCTTCTCTGTTCTGGAGGCAGCCAGGTCTTGACCACCCTTTTAATAGGTATCTGAGCATGGGCTTGGGATCAGTCTTGGGTTTGGATTCTGGCCTCTTCCCTTTTCTGGCTGTGTGACCATTGACGAGTCACTTCCTGTCTCAGGGCCTGTCTCCTCACATGAAGGACTGGTATATAGGATAAGTGGGGCAGCAGAGGCAAAGCTCTTAGCACAGAGCCAGGCCAAGGATAAAAAACTCCATAAAAAACTGACGCTATTATTGTCTCCCCTCCCCACTCATTGTAGCATGGGACTTCCTCTGGCCCTCTGCTCTGTGCCTTCCTCTGCCCCCTATCAATGGTAAATTAGAAATAGAGGCCTGTGTGTGTGCTCCATGAGTCGGCCTCATCGTGGCCTCTTTCTGACATGGTTTTCAGCTGACATCCTGGAGCCCTCTCCACGCCCAGACATGCTGTGCTTTGTGGAAGACCCTACTTTTGGATATGAGGACTTTACCAGGCGTGGGGCTCAGGCACCCCCCACCTTTCGTGCCCAGGTAGGCTTCTCCCTATGAGTCCTGGCCATTGCTGCAGATTAACAAACTGGTAGAGGATAGATGGTTTAAGTGGCTACAAAGTTGGCTACACTTTTAGATCTCCCCCTACCTGGAATCCCTCAAGATTGTGTGGGGAGAATGGGAGACCCTCTGAAACCTGAAGGGACCTATGTATGCCTCCAGCTCAGGGGGTTCTGATCTTGGGGAGGAGGTCATTACCAAGATGCATCCTCCTTGGATTCTTGGGCCCAGAGTAAGCAGTGAGTTATATTTATAAGGTGGGAAGGGAACATTATAAACAATAGAGGTGTGCTCCAGAGGTCCAGAAGATGGGGCCTCTCTGGCCAGCCTTGGACTCCAAAGTCTCTGCTCATTGACCTTTTCCTGTGTTCTTCAGGATTACACCTGGGAAGACCATGGCTACTCGCTGATCCAGCGGCTGTACCCCGAGGGTGGACAGCTGCTGGATGAGAAGTTCCAGGCAGCCTATAGTCTCACCTACAACACCATCGCCATGCATAGCGGTGTGGACACCTCTGTGCTTCGCAGGGCCATCTGGAACTACATCCACTGTGTGTTTGGCATCAGGTGATCACATATCCCCTCGCTTAGGGCCTGTGTATGATGCAAATCCTGAATGGGAACTCACAGTTCTGCTTCATTCTTCTTGTTTTTCCTTTTTCTTATTTTCTTCCTATACTGATTTTCAAAACAATGTATTTCTTTGCCGATTATAAAAGATAATAGAAGTGCTCTTTGTTTGAATCTTATAAAATGAAACTCTTTAATCTTACCTCCCAGAAATAACTGTTTATATTTGATGTTTTATTTCCATTCCAAGTAGAAATCCTTTCCGCATAATAGCTGAGTACAGCAGACATACCTATAGTGAAAAACCAAACTCACTGCCGTCAAGTCAGATCTGACTCGTAATGACCCCTCCTTGGGTTTCTGAGGCAGTATTCCTACAGCAGTAGTTTGCCCAGCCTTCCTTCCGAGGAGTGGTTGGTGGGCTTGAACTGCCAGCCTTCTGGTAAGCAGTCAAAATGCCTTAGGCACTACACCACCAGAGCGCCTATAATAGGGTTCTTTAAATAATTCTACTTATGGTCATTCAGTGAAATATTATGCAGCTATCAAAAATGATAGTAGAGGTTTATTGATAGTGACATGGGAAAATGTTCAATATGTATTGAGAGAAAAGAAAGTTGGTTACCAAGCAGAATCTTCTTTTTTGTTCATTTTTCACTAGAAGAAGTAGTGTCTGCATGGAAAATAGATAGAAAGTTGAAATTTAAAATGTTATCTAATAGTGGTTATCTCTGTATAGTAGTATACAATGAATTACATTTTCATCTTGTTTAAGTAGTTCCTGATTTTTTTTTTTTTTTATTAATAAGCCCATACTCAACATACTCTGTGGCTTGCTTTTCACCTAGTGATCAATTATGAATCTTCTTCTTTCGGTATCTGTAGATCTTTTCTGCTTTTTAACAATGATATGGTATTCTGTTATGAATGTCTCATATCTATGCAAACATTCTCCTGTTGCATATTTAGGTTGTTTGTAGTTTTCACTATTTCAAACACCATGAACACTGATTAGCCTTAGCCATAAATCTTTTCTGGATGAGAAATTACTTGTGAAAACAATCACAGATCAATTATTTTTTTACTTAAAAAAAAACAAAAAACCTCTAATTTCATGCTTTCAATTATAGAAAATTCAAAGATAAAGTAAAAAAAAAAAACAATTTCCCAAAATTCTTCCACTCCGTTACAACCATATCTACATCCTGGGTGTTTTTTCTCCATATCCTTTTTTCTTTTCTATGCAATTGCTTTTGTATACTTGAAATTATAAGAGCTCTGGTGGCATAGTGCCTAATGTATTTTGACTGCTGATCAGAAGGCTGTTCGTTCAAACCCACCAGCCACTGCTCGGAAGGAAGATTGGGCCATCTACTTCCATAGAGATACTGCCTCAGAAACCCAAGGAGGGGTCACTATGAGTTGGATTCGACTCAAGGGCAATGAGTTTGGTTTTTGTTTTAGTTGAAATTAATAGTGGTTATTTTATCTTAAAAAGTCATAATATGTTTGATGTACAGATAAACAAACAACCTGATTTTAGAAAATTGAGAAAACAGACACCACCACCAATAGCCTACGAGCCTACCTGCTCTTAGGTATTTCCTTCCTGTCTTTTGTCTATGTACAAATAACCAAAGCATATGTAAGTTTATAAAACAAGAACTGTTACCTTTTTCTTGCCCGCTCATTTTACTAATTTTACTCATTTAATGAAGTGTAAGCATATTCCAGTGGACATACGGGTTTTTGTTTTGTTTTTCTCATTTAACAGTTTATTTCAAAGATCTAAAAGTTTACCCAAAATTTTTAAAAAATGTACATGTTCCTTGTAGAAAGTATAAATGCACACTGTGTATCATGAGCTATAATAGCATATTTCATAGAATGAACTGAGCTGCACTTCATTGACAGGTTTGGAACTAAGAGAGGCCAAGGAAAGGTATCTTAGAAGATGGCATAGGCTAATCCCTGCCCAGCTCTCAGGTCCAGGCTTCTCGACCCTCCACATGGTCCTTGCTGCCATACCTTTATCTTCTGAACCTGTCTACCAGTTTTCAACCAGCCTTTCCCATCCACATTGATCCATGATATCTTTGGCTGCCCTGGCTCACTGGACTGGGGAGTAAATAATATGCCTTCTAAAGTTGTCCCCAACTTTGATTTTGATCAAGTTAATTGTCTTCTTCAGGCTTTAGTTTGCCCATCTGTAAAATGCATGTCAGCTCCTCTTGAGTCTTTCCCTCTTCCTTATCCAGGGTGAATATTTGCACTGACCTCCTGCCCCACTTTCCATGGCCTTTACTGTAAAGTAGTGAATATGGCCTTGGAGCCAGGCAGAGCTAGGTCTGAATCCCATTTCTACCTGCATGACCTAGGGCAAGAAACATCACTTCTCTGAATCTCAGTTCCCTCACTATTAAATGGGGCTGATGAACCTTTTATATAGTGTTTTTGAGGATTCTGCAAAGTCCTTGGCACCTACTTGATACTCAATATAGCTTGCTCATTCTTTGTGTATCCCTATCAATCTGGTGAAGTGCTTATGACATCAGCTTTTTCTGAGAGGAACCAGCTTCTTGTTGCTTCCTGCCTTCTGCTTGTCCTCACTACTCTCTGTTATTCCCTCCGTGGGATGAAGGTTGAGAAGGGGAGCTACCTCTGGGAATAGAGAATGAATGACATCATTGGGGCTTCTCCATCCAGATATGACGACTATGACTATGGAGAGGTGAACCAGCTCCTGGAGCGGAACCTCAAGGTCTATATCAAGACGGTAGCATGCTACCCAGAGAAGACCACCCGGAGGATGTACAACCACTTCTGGAGGCATTTCCGCCACTCAGAGAAGGTATAGCCCATCAGAGAGGGGTAGGCCCTCCTTCCAGGGGCTGAGGCTGGAGAAGCAGAACAGAGTAGATAGGCCCAGCCAGGGGAGGAGGAGGCAAGGGATCAGGACCCAATGAGGGAACCCCAGACTGAGTCTCTTCTGCCAGGGGAAACACCTGGGCCTTTTGTCCTAGGTTTAAGTCATACTTCACTATGTGATTCATACCCTATTCACTCATCTGTGAAATAGGAATATGTTTACCTGCTTCATAGGGTCCTCAGTGGCAACCTGATGGACCTGAGTTAGATGGTAGCACTGTCACTTGGTTGCTTTGTGATCTTGGGCAAGTCACTTTGCCTCTCTGAGCTTTTTATCTTTACAATGGGAATAGGTTCTGCCTGCATTTTAAGGTTACTAGGAGGATGAAAGGAGCTCTGGTGGTATAGTCATTAAGGCATTTGCCTGCTAACCAGAAGGTTGGAGGTTTGAACCCATCAGCTGCACCGCAGAAGAAAGATTGGGCAGTCTGCTTCTATAAAGATTTACAGCCTTGGAAACCCAGAAGGGGTCGCTATGAGTCAGAATTGACTCTGTGGCAGGGAGTTTGAGTGAGGAAGATGAAATGAGGAAATGTGTTTTAAGCCCTGATCTCTAGTAGGTGTTCAGTTAACAATAGCTCTTGTTACTAGTTTTGAAAGATAAGGAGACTAGTCATGACAGGGATGAAGGTGCTTGAAATTCTTCAATAGTCATTGCACCCTATTGCTCAGAGCCTTAGGAAACAGGAGGGCATCTTTCTAGGGAAGTGAGGGAACAGGGTGTGGGTGGTTAGGGACAGTGGCATACTGGGAGGAATTGCGAGACAGGGTGACCCAGTGCCACAGTTGGCAGTTGCCAACAAGCTGTTATCTGTACCCCAGGTCCATGTGAACTTGCTGCTCCTCGAGGCCCGAATGCAAGCTGCCCTGCTCTATGCTCTCCGCGCCATCACTCGCTACATGACTTGACTCCTGCACAGCACCTGGGAGCTGACCCTGCAAGGACTTCTGTCTGGAGACAGACCCAGACTCTTTTCCTGTCCCATGCCCACCCACCCCACTGTTGGGTGGGCTTATGTGTGATCTGCAGCCCCAAGCTGCACCCTCCTTTTTCTGACTGGAATGGACGGGATCATTGCACTGGCTCTGGGATCCCAGCACTGCTCCTGCCAACTGGAAAAGGACTAGGAGATCCCAAGGGGCCATACCCTTTTTCCCGTCCCTGCCCTCAGAGGCATAGGGCACAGGAAGGAATATGGGCCCAGTGAAGACATGTGTATCAGCAGGCTGGGCCCTAGGTACCAGAGTGCTGTGGCCTCCCTGGACTGGGAAATCCCTGGCTGACCCTGAGAGGGGGGCAGATACTTCCAGGGATTGACACTCCAGGCAGCTCTGCCCACCCCACCCCTTCCAGATTTCATTCATTACCTCCTACCTGCCATTCACCCATCAATGTGAAAGCCAAAGTCCCAGCTGGTCTGTGTGTGCCTGGCTCCCCATAATCTGCTCTGTTGGCATTCTGAAAGCCTCAAGTTCCCCAGTTGCCCCAGTCCTAGTATAGTTCTTTTGACCTTCTTCTCCCTTTTAACTCTACTCCTGTGCCTGGTAGGAGAGGCCCAAGCACATCAAAACAGTGGAAGATGTTATCTCTGTAGACTTTTGATGTCTGCTGGTCATTTTGCCTTCTGAAGAAGCAGGAGAGTATTACATTATAAATTCTATGCTTTTTGGTCCTTTATGGTTGAGGGTCAAACCTTGGGACCTCTCCCCTAGAACCACAGTCAGTCGTATCTGAGGGAAGAGGAGATGGAGAAATTTGGCTTCCCTAGACCTGTGCCTGCCCTGCAGAAGCTGGCACCCCATTCTCCTATCTCCAGTGGCTCTGCCACAGATGCTTGCCAAAAAGTTCAATATTCATTGGTGGCTCAGATGGCACCGTGGTCCAGTGGCAGAGGCAGGATTCACCAGTGTTCTTTTTATTATTATGATGATGATTTGGGTAAATTTTAGAGAGCAAATTCACTTTCCATACAAAAGTTCACAAACACTTTGTCTCGTGACATTGACTACAGTTTACCCCAATGCAACAGCTCCCCTCTCACTTCCTCCCCATAGTTACCTCTTCCCTGTGTCCATCCCTCCATACACTCTTGTCCCTGAGCTGTCTCCCTGTGCATAAGCAGTCCTTCTTTCTCCCATGATTGATCTCTCCAACAAGTGTATCTACCTCAGGTACATGTTCAACTCATATGCCTGTCTTTTGCTTGGCTGGAAGCCACAGGTATGGGTTCAATTCCAGACCTGAAGGGCAGCTAGGGGCCATAGTCTCAGGGGTTCACCAGGCTCTAGTGGACCAGCAAACCTGGTCCCCCTCCCCCCCCAAATAATTTTGAGTTTTGTTCCACATTGTTCTCCCTCTCTATCCAGGATCTCCTACATAGATCCCCCTCTGAGTGGTTGACAGTGGTAGCCGGGCACCATCTACTTCTGGTCTCATAGTCAAATAGGCTGCAGATTGCATGGTGTACCAGTCGCTAGGACTAATTGTTTCCATGAATCTTTGTTTTTCTTCATTCTTTGCTCTGAATGAGGAGAGACCCACTGTTGCATTTAGATAGCTGCTTGCAAGCTTTTAAGACCCCAGTCACTACTCACCAAAGTAGGAGGTGGAACAATATTTTGTGTAGTACATTATGCCAATTGAGCTTGATGTCCCCTGTGACTATGGTCCCAAGCCCACAGGTTCAACTACTCAGTCACTCTGGGTAGCAGGCTGTGACCAAGAAGTGACTACTCACCAGTGTTCTTGTTTGGGCCCTACCACCCACCAGGTGACCATGACTGTGTTGCCAAACCTCTTTGATCTCCGTTTGCAGTTGCATACTAAGGGGTGGATCTAGATTTCTGAGATGTCTGTCTCTTCACCTTGGGATTCCCAGGCCAACCTGCCAGCAGCAAACCCATTTCCATACAGGATCCCAAAGGCCTCTGGGGACACCTTTCCTGTAGTCAGTCTGCCCTGGCAGCTTTCTGTCCTAGTTTCTGTCCCCTCTCCTTGATTTTAGGCAAGTTATTTGGAGGCAGAGGCAGCCAAGGACTGATCCCAGGCACTTTCTGTAGCAAACAAGCTGTGAATTCTGACTTCTCTTGCCCCTTTTCAGGCAGTATATGGCCTCCTCTCTGACCAGTTTGGAGGTAGCTGAAGAAAGGCAAGAGCTACAGTGCTGCTGCTTCTGACCTTCCTCTTGGGCACTGTGGCAGAGGAGCTGGGTCAGTGTGCCACCTTCCATACCTGTGCAGGCACGGGAAAGCAACTGGCATGCCCTTCAGTTTCCAAAACCCTTCCTGTAAAGAAGCTGGGCAGGAGGGAGGGGGCTCCATTGTTGGGGTTTGGGTTTTGGAGGAGACATGATGACTCTGTGAATATCCCCTGGCTAGGTGGGGAGGGGTATCCAGTGTTCAAGTGCAGAAATCTTTGGCTTTGCTGTCTGTATGATGACAAATAAAGGTTACTGAGGTTTTGTTTCATACTGCTTGTTAATGGTCTTTTTTTCCACTTAATGAGGGTCATGGTTCACTGTGTCGCACAAGCAGGGAGCTGCGATTGCATCATGGACTGACTTGCTGCCCCTCCCCTGCCAGACCCTTGTACCCAGGGACTAGAGTTGAAAGTAGTTGGCATTGAGAGCACTTCTGTCCCTTGGGGGTCTATTTGCCACCGGCCTGGTGTTGTGGAATAATAGCCATGTTATTTTTCTGATTAAACCTGGTCCTATACTGGCTACGTGAGGTCGTTTCTCTCAATCTGCAGCAATCCTGCAAAAGAACTAAGGCTTAGGTGAAACGACATTGCTAAAGCCACATAGTGGTGGAGCCAGGATTCCCACCCAGATCTGCTTGATGCTGAGGCCTTGAGTTTTTACCTTGCTGCTTTTGCCACTTCTGGGCTCTCACTGGAGCAGAGGGAGGCTGTTTAAAAATCTGTGGGGAGACCCTTAGTGTCCTCTGCCCCACCACATTATGTCTGTCTGCTTCTGCTCCTTCCCTCTCCAGCTCCAAGGAGACAGAACCATGCATAAGTGCTTAAATGTGATCCCCAAGTTGCACCATTTAGTAACTGTGTGACCTTGGTAACGTTTCTTAACTTCTATGAGCACCAGGAACTAGTAAGCTTACCAGGAAAACCACATCATTGACTAAGAGCCCTCTCCTACTTCCTCTAAATCCTATGGTATCGTACAATGATAGCTGAGTCTCCTACAGGAAGCCTTCCTTGATTGATTCTATGTCTTCTTTCCCTTTGGAGTACTTCTTTTTTGCTGTTTTCCTTTACACTTGCACTTTCTTCTAGAGTCATTTGAGAGGATGTGAAAAGTGAACCAGACCTGGAATTCAAAAATTGTATTCTGGTCCTGATTTTGGCACTTACTAGTGAAGTGACCTGGGAGCATTGATTAACCTTAGTGTGCCGCAAATTTCCTTAGCCATAAAAATGGGGGTAAAATCCTCACCTCGCCTATTGTATCATGGATTTGTAAGGTATAATCTACTAAAAGGATGCAAGGAAGATTCATAAGCTTGATACGTACTATGCTGCTCCAGGAGCTGTGTCCGTTTCTCTTCCAGGCAGCACTTCCCGAATGTGAGTGTGCTGGACATTTTCTAAATTAATCTCTTTACAAGAACCCTGGGAGAAAGTGTTCCCATTTTACAGATGTGGAGAGTGGAACCTCAAGTGAAAGTCTAGGGAACACCAAAGTTAGACAGACACAAGTTCAAATTCTAGCATTGACATTTCATGTCTGTTTATGTCCATGCAAGTTACCTCAGTTCTCCCTCCCAATTTCCTTATCTTTGGGCTTGAATGAATACCTAGGTCACAGGAGGTTGTGAGGATTAAATACTGCATGAAAACCACCTAGTACAGTTCAGGCAGCTGGCACCTACCACTAGTGAACCATTCCGTATGGCCGAGGTTGTACAGCTGAGCTCGGATTTGAATTCTTGTCAGTCTGATTCCAGAGCTCTTTGTTTTGCATTGCTTTTGTCCCTAAATTCCCTAGGCCTTCGATTGGCATATTTTTTTTATCTTGTTTAAGTCTATACAACATGGAATTGAAAATGCTTGGCTCCAGATTGTATCTAATAAATCTGTTTTAGCCTTCTACACTCTGCAAACCAGGACCTAAACACACCTAAAAAGGCAAACGTTTGACGTTTAGGGGAGGTTATTGGTAGCTAGATTCTTTTATTTGTTTGTTTGATTTTTTAAAGATATTTTACTGTGTTTATGGTTAATATTTACACAGCAAAGAAAATTCACTTCCCTTTAACAACTTTTATAACAGTATCACTTTCTCCCAGGGTTCTTGTAAAGAGATTAATTTAGAAAACGTCCAGCACACTCACATTCTGTGAGCCCCAGGGTTACAGGTGAGGAGAGACAACTCAGGGACGCCCAAAGTAGCAGGCAGGAAGAGCAGGAGAAAAGGGATTAAAAGCCAGGAAGCCAGAGAGAAGAGCA